TCCAAATTGCTGTTCTCCTATAAATAATGCATCCTTTTTCTGTTTTCAAGCTTTTTTGTCTTTGAATCTTTTTCTTTCTGTGGTTCAAACTAGATACCTTCTGCTGATATATCTTCAAGTTACGGACTTCCCTCTGTCATCTCCATTCTGCTACTGAGTTCATCCAATACCATCCAGTGAGTCTAAGTTGTTTCTTCCATCCTGAAATTTCCACTTGGTTCTATCTTCTATTCTTCCCATTTGTGTCAAGAACATTCTTGGAGCACGATTATAAATAATTGCTTTAAAGGCTTTGTCCAATCATTTCAACATCTGGGTCATCCCAGTACTGGCATCTGTTGACTGTCTTTTCTCATATAAGACTTGAAATTTTTCTGTTTCTTTGTATGCCCAGTAATTCTGGATTATATCCTGGACATTTAGAATATTAGAAGACTCTAGGTCCCATGGAGAATATTGATATTTGGTTTCAGCAGACTCAGCTAGGTTCAGGCTACAAGTTTGACCAGCCTCCAGTGGGTAGCAGTTCCAACACCAGTTCTGTTTTCAAAGCCTTTTCAGTGGACACAGCTCTGTCCCAGGTGTGCTCTACCAGTGACCAGTCTTGGTCCTGGGTAGTAGACTATATTCTGTCTTTGTATGCTGTTAGGATCAGATCCTCACATGTGCAGTTCAGGATTTTGTTGTTTTATTTTTAAAATGGTAATTTTGTCTTTCCAACTTTAACCAAATTTCAGATTTCTGCTTGCTTTTCCATTTTGGCTCTGCCCTTTTTTTTTTTTTTGGTCGCACTGCACGGCATGCAGGATTTAGTTCTGTAACCAGGGATTGAACCCATGTCCGTGGAAGTGCAGAGTCTAACCACTGGAACACCAGGGTAGTCTCTTTTATGGTGTTTTATGAGATCATTTCCCCCAGGTTCCTTCTTTCCATGTCTCCTTGGTATTTTCTGGTTTCTGAGGTCTCCCTCTTTCAATCATCCAGTCAGAAATCTGGACTTAATAACCCGACTCTGATTCCTTCCTACAAATGCACCTCCATCAGGGACCAAGCAGTGGGAGGATGAAGAAGAGAAAAAAAAAATGCAACAGGGGCTAATCCTATCCTGCGACTGAAGAGGGAGGTTGCCCACCTCAGCATCTTAGGTGCCTATGGGACCTTGCTGCCACCACCAAATGGGACTGCTGGGGGCCTGGGACGTGAGAGGACAAAGGAAACAGCAAACAGAGGATTCCCCCTATGCTCTCAGAGCATCATGAATCTCCTTCCCTGCCTCAGCAAGCTAGTAAAGAGGGCTTTTCACTCTCTTCCTCCCCCAGTGCCCACTTCTGTGTTTCCAGATGCTTTAAGTCCAGGCTGAAGATACAGGAGGCAAAAGAAGGCAAACCCTCAGCTGGCTCAGTGGTACTTTGTAATCTGGTTTTCTCCACCAGCCTGCCTGTTCCCATTTACTTTTTAGTTCTCAAATACTGGCTTCACCCATCCTGTCCAAGCTTTAAAACTGGGCCACCTGCTTCAGAGTCTGGAAATTCATACCTGGCTACAGTTGAGCTGTTGGCAGCAGGTCTGGAACTGTCTGGGAACATGTCTGGGAGCTGCCTGCTGCCGTAGCCTTTGATTCCTGGAAACATGGTGATTAGCAGGTCCAGATGATGCTCTCCAGCCTGAGCTTTCTCCCTTCCTCATGGAGCACAGCACCAGGACAAACCTAACTGAGCTGGCTGCTGTGGGAAGACGCAGGGGAGGGTGGGGAGCCCTGCTAGGAACCCCACTTTCAGGAGGCAGCACTGTGGAATACTGTGTGCTGCTAGGGCTGCTGTGAAAATGTACAAGGGTCCCATCAAGGTAAAAAATATATGGCTTCAGGGCTTTCCTAATGGTCCAGTGGTTAAGAGTCCACCTGCCAATGCAAGGGACAGAGGTTCAGCCCCTGGTTCAGGAAGATGCCACGTGCTGTGGGGCAACTAAGTCCATACACAACTACGGGGTGTGCATGCCAGGGCCCGTGAGCTGGGAACTCTAAAGCCTGCACGCCGCAAGTAGAGAGCAGTCCCTGGTCGCTGCAGCCAGAGAATGCCTGCATCGAGCGACGAAGACCCAGCCCAATCAAAACTTAAAAAAGAAAAAAATGACCTTGACGAGAAAAAGAGGTTACCAATAGCAAGACAATAAGTTTATTACTAAAAGAAAACCAAAAAACGTCCTAAATGCAAGAGAAAGAAAAGAGAGCAATGAGAGAGCAGAGCAACATCTACATATAGCTGTTTGTGAGTGTGTACAGAGACACCAAAGAGTTAGCACGAAGTAACAGCACTGACGCCACACCCAGAGGCTACAGAGCAGCCAACAAAAGGAAAAGGAAAGACCCAACAGGTCAGTGTGGAATGATCCCCAGGACGTGTTACTGGTGAAAACCTTTTCTGAATATATCTAAAATATCTAAAGAGTCACTATTTGTATAAGGAGGGTGGAGAAATGAACACACCTGGCCCTCAGTACCTGTGGGGGATTGGTTCCAGAAGTCCCCAGATCTGAGGATGCACAAGTCTCTCATATAATAAGATGGCGTACTGCAGGGACTTCCCTGGTGGCCCAGTGGCTGAGACTCTGCACTCCCAATGCAGGGGGCCCAGGTTCGATCCCTGGTTAGGGAACTAGATCCCATATACCACAGCTAATCATAAAAAAAATCCCAAGTGCTGCTAAGACCTGGTGCAGCCAAATAAATTAATTAATTAATTTAAAATTTTAGTTAAAATAAATAAAATGGTGTAGTACAATTTATACTCAGCCCTCTCTATCTACAACTTTCACATTTGCAGATTTAACCAACCCTGGATTGAAATTTTGATCCTTGGTTAAAAATCTGTGGATACTGAGAGCTGACTATATACAGAAATTTGCTTATGTTTATGGAAAAAAAGACCACACACACTGAGAGGGTAAACCAAGATCATAAAAATGGCTACTTACAGGGGTGGGGGGAGGAGGCAACAGAAAGTAAAGCCAGACTTCTTTGAATAAACCCTGCCATATCATTTGGAAACATAAAGGTGTGACATACTCTACGTGGGGTGGGGGTGGTATTGCCTAAAAATTGAAAACAAACGAAGTAAAGGAACCCAAACGTACGTGAAGTTGGTGACAGAGGCACATGGTGAAAACAACTATTTCAAGTACCCTTGGAACACAATATTCCAGTTCAAGTACCCTTAGAACACAATATTCCAGTTGTCCATCTGTAACGAAGGCTGCTCTAAGGACTGTCTACCTGCAGCTGTCTCATAGGGACTCACTCTGAAGCAGCTATACATGTGTGCAGTCCAATCATGTACGAACAGCTCCGGTGTATGTGAATAAGAAATGCTGTGAGAAACCCAAGTGTACCAGAAAAAGATGCAAATAAAAAAGTCAAAGCAATAAGAAATCCTGCAGTGTTACACTGGAATGAGAATGAACTGGGATAAACTCTCCCCTATGCCACCAAATGTGTCTTAGTTTCCCACTACAAAGGCTTAAAGAGGAGAGCCCAGCAGCAGGGAGGACACACAGCACTCAGAAGGTGTCTGAACACCACTCTCTCTGTGGAAAGCAACCTGGGTTCCTGAAGGGGCTCTGGGATGGGAGGTGCACAGATGAGGGAAGACGTCCTGTGGGACCAGAAGCTTCCAAAGGCCGATAGGTGCCATCAGGAGGGCGGGGAGCCAACAGGAAGGGCTCTGTCGGCCCACGCAAAGATCATCTGAATATTAAAAAATTATGTGTACACCTGACAAGCACGAGTTCACAGTAATACAAAACAATAAAAGAACCCTCCTTCACCTGAAAAAAACAAAACCTTAATTCACCAGTTAACACTGAAGTAAGCTCTAACTCTTTACTCTGAAAACTCATAATTGAAAAGGCGAGAGAGGCAGTAAATTGCTTTTTGTGCACTGTACTTCCAGGTAATAAACTAGTTCTGGTTGTTGATGGCAAGTTCGTCACAGAACATTACAGCTGATCAACACGGAAGGGAAGTTAGAACATGAAGCCACAGTTTCCTCACCCTGAAACCAGAGATAACCGCCACTGCACCCATAGATGGTAGTAAAGATTAAAGACCAATGTCAAGAATCCAGTCAGGGACTTCCCTGGTGGTCCAGTGGTTAAGAATCTGCCTGCCAATGCAGGGAACACAGGTTTGATCCCTGGTCCAGGAAAATTCCATATGCTGTGGAGCAACTAAGCCTGTGAGCTGCAACTACTGAGCCCACGCACGTAGAACTTGTCCTCTGCAATGAGAAGCCACTGCAATGAGAAATCTGGGCTGCAATGAAGAGCAGCCCCGCTCGCTCCAACTAGACAAAGCCCAAGCAGCAACGAAGACCCAGCGAAGCAAAAAATAAATTCTAAAAATTAAAAAAAAATTGATACACCGATCTTTAAAAAAAGAATCCAGTCAGACCTCGTTAAGCCCTACATTGACTCCATCCAACTCAGACCTGGAAGAGCCATGCCCAGCTCCTTATCACTGTTGCTTGCATTAGTTTCTAGTACATTCTCTGGAGGCTGGTCCTGTAGGTGGTGCGTGGGAAGATGCTCTTTCCTGGGCTCAGCTCAGAGAGCCCTGGGTACATCTGGAGTCAATGGAAGTCCGCACAGAGATGATGCCAAGAAAGGACTCGAGCAGTGCAAGCACAGTTTCAAAAAGGCCAAGTGAGACCGGAACGAGACTGAGGGTGAGACGGCCGCCTGTGCTGCCGCTTCTTCCTCCTTGAATGTACTGGCACGGATGCAGCAGTTACCAGCAGCTGGGATCTAGCACTATTGAGAAGGAAATACATAAGAAGCCGACTTCTTGACTGCACGCAATGTGAATCGTCGAAGAGCTGAGAGCTAAAAGGGCTGGCGGTCAGAAGCCCGATAACCCAGTCAACACAGAGGCATAATTCCCTGACAAAGCACCTACTTCGGAACCAGCTAAGAAAAGGGCATGTTCTTGGCACAGGCCAACTCACCAGGTCGCTGCTGACCAGGAAAGCCGAGAGATCTACCAGGACCCATGTGGGGATCATAAAAAAGACGGCATGGCAGCCCAAGATGTTCAGCAGCCGGAGATGGTGGATCCTTGAATCTCTTAATACCTGAAGAGAGAAAACCTCTTTAAAGGCTGGTTGTAACTATAAGTGGCAAGAGGGGCTCCGCTTACCCAGGCCCCAAACATGGTGACCGCACATTATCCCTGGTATCTGACCTTGACTGCCAAACCTACAAGTGCACCTATGACGAGACACACTGCCCATGACTAAAACAAGCACAGTGTTTCATATGCAAAGGACCAAGAAAAGAAAAACAAACAAAAACAGCAGCACTCAATTGCTGGTGAAGCTACAGGGGAACAGGCACTCTGAAATGGTACTGGTTAATGTCTAAACTGGCATACGGTTCCAGAAAACAAGCATATCAAGAGCTGTAAATATCTCATACCCTCTGACCCAAGAGTGGCAAACTCATCAAGAGGAAACAACCTGAGAAACAGAATAATGTTTAACACAAAGATGCTCATAAACTGTATTATTTGTAGGGAATAGCTCGAAATAATCTGCAGCTGCAAAAGGGAAACCAACTGTGTTAATTATGGTACCTGAAAAGAATGTGATTATTATGAGTTAGCGATAATTTTTAATGATATGGGAAAATGCGATGTTAAAATAATAAATGAACAAAGCAAAACTTGAAAAAAGTATGTATAATATTGCAACTCGGAAAAAACCCCTAGCATTAACAGTAGTTCTCATTAGGGAACAGTACTTCGACTTTCCTCAAGAAAGAGGAAACCCTGAGCTGGGGGTAGGTCTCTGTTGAGTCTTGGTCCCCAACACCTACTACGGCGCCTGTCACACAATAGGTGCTCAATAAATTTTCTGATTTCTTTTCACTGTGCTTTTCTCCATTTTTTCACATTGAATGTAAGTCAACTTCCTAATAATAATAATAAAGCTATTTAAAAAACAAAACAATAGAAACCAGTAGAAGGGTGACAGGATGTTTTTTTGTTCCAACACTGAAGAAATCTTTACCTGGCTACTTTTTTAGATGCCACCCACACACCCCAGAAACAGCAGGTGCATCCTGGACAGCACCCCAATACCTTTTTGGAGAAAATATTCTGAAGCGAGAAGCACAGTGTGGCAGCAAGGGCGCTGACAAGCCCCCACATGTCGAAGGACAGCTCGGTGACGGTGGCCAGCAGGACGCCGCTAATGATGGGGATGAGTGACAGGTACACCTGTGAGAGGATGGCAGGAGTGGCTGACAGGCCAGGGTTAAGCTGGGCCGCCCAACACTGATGCCCGGGGGAAAGCCTTGACTGCTCTCTCTTCCCTCCCCAAAGGGACACCACCTACCACTTTGGATGCCAGTGTTAGCTGTGACAGTAATACTCTGGGGAGTGCGGGGGAGGCAGATGGTTCTCAGAGTACCTGAGGGTAGGGCTGTGTCACTGTGGGCCCCCCCCCCCCGCACCCCCATTAAGAGCTACAAACCAGGGCTGGTCCTAATAGGATCTACCCAGCTGCCGCCACCAACACACCAGGATCTGAAACTTTAAGCCTCTGATGGGCTTTTCGGGTCCCTCTTATTTTGCACTCTTCCAACATGCAGTTATCCCTGGTGAGGACACTTCCCCTACACCCTCTCCAGCTGGAGACCTCCTTTCCCCTCAGGGGTCAGTTCACAAAGGCCAAGAACGTCCCCTGACACAGTGCTCCCCAGACACAGTCAGGTTCCCCAGCGGTGTGTTTTGGGAGCAGCGCTCTCCACCCACCAGGAGCACCGTTACATCGTCTGCGTCCCTGCACCCCTTTAGGGCAGCTCTTTGCTCACGGCTCTCTGCTGGTGCCCGGCCCTCAGCGGGCACCCAACAACTGCTGGCTACAAAAACGAGGAGCGAGTGCTGTGACCAGGGTCTTCCAGAAGGTGCAAGCATTTCCGGGCCTGGAAAGTCCCAGAGCTCTCACGGCTAAATAGGCTCCCAACTTCCAGAGAAATGGCGTCCATACCCAGCATGTGGCTTTCCTTACTCCTGGCTCATCTTTCCCCTGCAGAGGATACTCATAAAGCACTTTGGGGGCTTCCCTGGTTGAGACTCTGCCCCCAGTGCAGGGGGCTAGGGTTTGATCTCCATTCAGGGAACTAAGAATGGAGAACAGCCAAAACAAATAAATAGATTAAAAAAAAAAAAAACACGAAAAACACTTCAGAGATTCTGGGAGGAGGTGGTGAGGCACCCCACCCCCATCCCCACATACACAGGGTAAGAGTAAGAGCTCTGAATTCCAGAATTCCTGCTCCCTCACTACTGGCTGGCCCTCAGGTTCTTCCTTTTGAAGTCTCATTGCTTTCCCTGAGATGAAATGATCACCGACCTGATCTGGAAAGGGTGGGGCCACACTTACTCTATCATCATCATCATCATTAGTCTCCTGCCTAAGCCATTCCCCTGTCTCTCCTCCCTGTGAAAGGTTCTGGCTCCCTGCCCAAGCCAGGAACAATGACCCTATCAGGAAGCCTGATAAACACAACGTGATACTGAGAGAAGCAAGCCACACACCTCCTGGTCAACTCCGACCTGGGGAGACCAGTCACATCTGCCATCACCCTGGGGGTGGGCTGCAGGGCACACCAGATCTGGCAGGGGATAAGACTGACCGAAAGAAAACACCAGCCGGGGTGGCCCCATTTCTATAAGCTGATCCAGGGCCCCGCTGTTCTAAGTTACATAAAATACAGGACGCCAGAAACCAACCACACAGAAAAGAGGCGCTCTGTCCAGCATGAAATGGATTCCAGCTGGGACAACAGGAATCCCACTTCCACTTAAGGACACAGGGCAGGGCTGTCTCTGGCTGAAGCCACAGCTTCTCTCACTCCAGGCCAGGAAATACCCTGGCTTGGCATCTCAAACAGACCCTGGATTGTGCCCAGAGCATCTTCCCCATGTAGCCCTGGGCTCTGTGGGCTGCTCTCACTTCCATCTCCAGACATTCACAATTCCTGGCTGTTTCTATTTCTAAGACTTTGCTGGGCTTTGCCAACATCAAATTCCTCTGACTAGTTTCTCACTTCTGACCCCAGAAATCCGGAGCCTGAACACTATCTCTTGCAAAGATGTAAAACTCCGTCAGAGTTCCGTTCCAGCAAGGAGTCAGATTTTCCAACCCTCATTCCACTGGAGGGGGGTGGTCTGGTCAAGGTGGGACCAAGTTATCCAAGTTGCCTACCAGCAACCCCAGGTTGGGAGTCCAAACAGGGAGGACCCCTGGATCTGAGATGGGCAGCAGCATCCTGAGACCACACATCAGAAACAACTCAGGAACACACACCCCACATGCTCAGGAACACTGCCCCGGGGGTGATTCCAGAACGTTAGCAGCAGAAGAGCCACCAGAGGTCTAGAAGACGACTTCCTTATTTGACAGGAAGCCAGGCAGCCTGCAGACCAGGGACCTAGACCACGTCACCAGCTCAGCAACAGCTGGGAAGGCTTTGGGGCCCCCATCGGCCCAGAGCCCTCGTAGGTTACCTTGGTGCTCTGTTTCTCCTTCATGATGATCCGGGACAGGAGGACCACCCAGATGGGCATGGTGGCCTTGACTGCAAAGAGAGGGTAGGGGCATTCAGGGAGCTGCGCTAGTCCCAGAACCCACTCTGGGACCTGTCCCAATCCCACTGGGGTGGAGGGGTAGGAAGGCTTGGCTGCCACTCAAGTCACTTCAGCTCTTCTTTACCTGTGGGCCCTCCCCGAACCCAACAGTTCTGATCCGGCCTGCTCACTTCCCTGCTTTCTTCTCAGTCCCTTCCCTCCCGGAGAGCCCTGCGCGTGTCCCTCTCTTCCTAAAAGCTTTGGCGGCCTCCAGCGCCTTCTGGACTGAAACGGACTTCTCAGCCCGACGTTCCAGGCCGTCGAGGGCACCACAGCCGGCGCACTCCGACCTAAGCGTCAAAGCCCAAGGTGGCGTGCTCCAGCCGCCGCCCCCTAGGCCAGCCTCGGCACCCACCGGTGTGCGCGTAGGACACGGGCACCTTCCATATGCTGACGTGCGCGGACACTGATGCGAAGTACTTGCCGAAGGCGAGCGGCAGCACGTAGCGCGGGTAGAAGCGCGGCGGTAGCAGCGGGCCGGACGACTGATGCGGACCGGGCCCAGGGCCCGAGACGGGCGGCGCCGGGGGCACGCGCCAGGCGCGGAGCAGAGGCGGGAGTCCTGCGCACAGCGCCAGGATGTGGCACAGCGACACGGTCACGGGGAATGGGAAGGCGCTCAGGATCACCTTGTTGACCACATTGCCGCCCGCGCTCAGCGCGTACCACAGCAGGCACAACGCTGCCACCCGCGCGCCTTCGCGCGCCCCTCCGCCGCCGCCGCCGCCGCCGCCATCCTTCCCGAGCGGCCGCCCCTTCCCGCCCGTCCGACGGCCCGACGCCGGGCGGGGGCGGGGCCGGACGGGGGTGGGAGCGCCAGCCAACGCTGCTGCCTATTAGCCACCGTCGCTTCCGTCACCGCCACGCGCCGGCCGACGCGCCCGCCACCACGTAGCGAACGTAGTCCCCGCCTTCCTTTGGGTGGGCTTCCGGGAGGGCGGGGTCTGTCCCGGAAGCGGAAGGAAAGGGGACCGTGAGCCCAGTAGGGCTCTGAGGGTAGTGGGCTGGCCTGAGCGAGCGTAGACTGGGTCCCGGAGCACAAGCAGGAGGGGCGGGAGGGGGCGGTAGGACCCCGCTTTGTCGGTGTCTGTGAGCGGGCGATCGAGCTCGCGCGTCAAACCTCGATATCCGGGCTGCATTGGCGCCCTCCAGCCAGATTCCTGATGGTCGGCGGCGGGAGACAAAGGTAAAAGACCAGACCTTTCGGGGAGAGAAACCGAATGGTGAAAACCTCTTCATGGGCTTAATTCTTTCTGCAAACCTGGAGCGAACTCCCGTGGCCGCACTCCAACTGAGGGGCCAGCCCAGAGCGCCCTGGAGCACGTCTGGGAATGCGCTGTGCGGTATTACTGTCTTCATTTCACCGACTGATGGACCGAAGCCCAGAGAAGGGAAGCGACGTGGCATGGGTCCTCTGGCCAGTTTGGGAGTCGCAGTAATGGCAACCTCCTCGGGCACCTGTCTCTAGGGATCTGCAGGAGGGAGGGACGTGGTGCTGGCCCCTACTGCCGATGCTCAACGACCGGTTGGGATAGAGCAGCCCAAAGCCGCAACGGAGGAAAACAAATCGGTGTTTTCAGCAAGATGATCTTACACTGCAGGACTTTGTTTGAAATATCATGTACTTCCAACTTTGGGGGTGATAGGGAGTGTTAAAATTTTTCTTCTACTGTATCTTTACTTGGCAAATGAAAAAGTGGCAACCCAACTTGATCCGCAAAATGTTGGTGGGAAGTCACAGCATAACCTTGTGTTATGACTTGTGTTCTCAAAGTCAGGCAGTATCTGTACCCTAGGGCTTACTAGATACTGACACAGGAGAGGTGGTGCCTGCAGGGGGTGAAGGAGCAGCGACCTCCCTCAAAGCCCAGGTCTGAGAAAAGGAGATGCTCATGGGGTGCCAACCTGCACCTTAATAGCTTCCAGCTGTGCCTCTGACCCTTTGTTGGTCTCAGGATATCCACATGTCAGCTGGCCACATTAGAGGTAAGAAAACAGGCACAGTGGACTAAGGAAACTAGTTATTCCACAGCACACATGGTCCTGATGACAAGCTTTCACCCCTGCCCCCCCCCCCGGCTAAATTTGCATAATTTAATCCTCACAGTTTTGGGGTATCACTTATATCTCCCAAATGAGGACAGGTGTATAGGAGTAAAGTGATTAGCCCGGGTCCATACAGGTGGTAGATGGCAGGGGCAGAGTTTAACCTTAGACTGCCCTCAAAGCTACTTCACCCACTTCTCAGAGAGGGTATGCCCTGCACTAGCCTACGTCAGAATTCCCCAAGGCTCTGAAGCTGTAGCTCTGCATTGATTGCATGTTTCTGGACCTTCTGATTTGCCTGGTGGGGCTGCTTCTCTAAAGGGGGAGTTGCTTCCTCATCTGTGAAATCAAGTAAATGTGGTCAAGATGACCTATTCCAGAGTGAAAAAAATAGGAAGCCAAAGCTTATGGTTTCAGAGATGAGGGAGAAGAATTAAAAGATCATCACTTTATAGTCAAGGAAGAACTACAAGTATTTCAGGGGGTAAGACAAGGTCACTTGAGACCTGGGTTGTAGAGCCTGCTTGGGAGGGTAAAGCTCTCTCTTTCTAGGGAAAGTGAGGTCTGGAATGGAGACAGATGTGGCCTCTCCGACTCAGTCACCCAGAGTTAGCAGGTGACTCTGGAGGTGGGAGAGGCACTGTGGCCCTGAATGAATGAAAGGCAAGGTGGAGGTCAGTCTCCATGCAGAAGGCTAATAGGCTGTGGACTTGGTTACTTTGCTCTGCCCACCTCCCCACAGCCTGGCTAGCTATGGGGCCTGAACCTTGGACATGGGGTCCAGGTTATCTTGGCTAATCCAGAATCCAGAAAGGATGAATGTGGCTATAAAGGACCAAATTAAAAAACAATTCTCAGACTGGTTTGTGCAAATGTTTTTTTTTTTTTTATTTCCACATTTATATCACAAGGTGTCCACTTACTGGACCAAATAGCAAAGTTGCTCCCTTCTGCGTCCTGAGAACACAGAAGTCTAGGTACTGTACATTCACTAAGGCTCCTTGTTTTTGCAAATCGCGTTTATGACAAATAACCATAAGGCAAACGAATCTAAAGGAATGGTTATGAGTGTTTCCAGCATACAGACAGGTCTCTTCTCGCCCAACAGTACAGCTTACACACCAGTAGCACCCGCGGTTACTTTTGTGTTTTGAGGGGAAGGGAACTCTAGAAAGGTGAACTTTTCTAGATATGTGTGGGAAGGGGAAACTGAAGAGGGAGGAACAAAAGGCAAGTTATTTGTCTGGTGGTCAGATGGAAGAGGGGGCAAAATAAACTTTAGAAAACAAATTTTTGCAGCATTTCTTTAAAAACTGGGCTGTAACTGAAACAAGATACAAATGTGTGGACGCCCAGGGAGCATGGGTCGAACTGGTTGACCAGCTGGCCTGCGTGATGCCAGCAGCTCACTACAGCTGAGGCACTGTGATGGGAAAGCTGGCCAGGTGGGGTGCAAACCGAGGCCGCAGTGTTGCCCACTGCCTCAAACACTTAGGGCCATGTTAAAAAACAGAAAATGCAAAGAGATGAGATGCGTGCTTCTGTCGCTGTGTTAAAGGTAACCTCTCCCACAGGTTTTCTGTGCCTGCCTGCAACTGAGGTCCCAGCTCACCAGGGCTGGGAAGCACCCACACCTCTTCTGGGGTGGGAGACTAACGCTTTTTATAGCTGGTTTGCTATAGAGTTCTGAACTCACTTTGCTGGCCTTCCTTCCACGCGGTCCTTCCTTTGCAATTTTGTTAGTAAACTGGTAGCAGCATTTCACAAAAGGAGAATTTAGAGGGATGAGTGCAGAGAGACCTAGAGACTCTCGCCCCCTCCCTCCCGCCCCGGGCCGGACTCCCCGGATTCCCAACCACTGGAGGCGGCGGGCCCTGGCGCCCGTCCTCCATGGCTGACTGCAAGGTGGGAATGCACTTAGAGCCCGAGGGGCCGGTCAGTCCAAGCAGACATAAGGCAGAATGTTCAACCGCCCGTCGTCGCCGTGCGGGTCGAGCGATATGCACTGCGTCCAGTCATACCAGTTACCCTGTGTGTCCTGACACCCGTTCACCCCTGGCCACTGGTGGGCCTGAATTCTGTCCAAATCGTCCTGGGTGACCTCGCGGCTTAGCCCGGGGAAGTCCGTGGGCGGGCCATGAGGCACCAGCACGTGTGGCTTCCGGGCCCCGCGCCGAGTGCTCTCCTCCTGTTTCAGGTACTCGGACATGAAGTGGTGAGCGCCCGGGGTCTGTGCGCCTGACGACGAGAGCAGGCTGCTCTGCCGGCTCAGGTAGGACTGGATGATCTCATTGCGTGACAGTTCCTTCCAGTTCGTCTGCTCAAAAGGGCTCTGGAGGCTGGCCTTGGCCTCGGGCTTGTCCAGCTCTGTCCTGGGCTGCTCCGTGTGCACGGGGCTGTCGGCCCGCACTGGCTCTTTCTGGGTCAGAGGTTTGATCTGTCTCGTCATGGGGTCAAAAGTGAGCTTCCGCTCTTTTAACCGGACAGGCTTGACACCGGCCTCAGCCACCTGCCCGTCCAAGTTAACCGTGTAGTCACGAGGCCGGTACCTCTTCTTCTTTTTGCTGTCCGACCCACCGGAGGAGGCAGCATCGCTGTCCGCCTTGGAGGAGTCTGGGGAGAAGCCTGCCCGGGGCAGGAGGGGCTCGGCCGGCGGCAGCCCCGCCTTGCAGCCTGACCCTGCGAGCCGCTGGTGGCCCTCCGGCTGCTCTAGCCAGCGCACGGGGCTCTCTGCGCTGGGCAGCAGCTCGAGTCGCCGCACGGGGGGCGTGGACGGCTGGGCCAACGGAAGCGGTGACGGCACCTGGGTGGCATCCAGCGACTGGGGCCGAGGTGATGGGCTGGGCAGGGAGCCCTTGTACGTGTACGGGCTCCGCTGCCGGGCAAAGGAGCCCTCGTGCCGTGAGTTCCGGGAACTGAGAGAGCAGCGAGGTGGCCCCTTGGGGTGGGGGGGCCCTGGAGTCTCGTCCACCCTGTCCAACTGCTGCAGCACCACAGCCTTCGTCTGCAAGCAGGGCCCGGGGGGCTTGCCCAGGCCCGGGGAGCTGGTGTGCGGCCTCACGGCGTTGACAGGGATCTTGCCGCTGTGCTTGTCGTTCTCGCCGTGCTCCAGGCGGTTGCCCTCAGGGCCCACGTGCCCACTGCTGTCCAGGGGGCTGGGGAAGCTCTCGGGGCTCCCGCTGATCCCATTGGTTGGGAGGGGGGATGAGTTGGGTACCAGGGAGTCGTGGCTCGCCTTGGAGACCTTGGGAGGTGGCCCTGGGTGACCGAGGTCACGCTGGTCTCCCCGGCGCTTGCGGCTGCCCAACCTGTCCAGCCGCTGCCCGCACAGCCTCGGCATGTCATTGCGGTACTTCAGGTCGTGGACGCTCTTGGGCGGGCCCGCCGCCCCTGCCTCTGGCCGGCAGTTATGGGCACCACCATTGGCCGAGCCGGTGGCAGCCGCCAGCCCCCGCAGCGCAGCCTCATTCTGGTGCACGGGCTCGATAAGCTTCTGCCAGCTCCGCAGCAGCTTCTTGGCCCGCTTGGCGAGCTCCTCGTTCTTCGTCTTCTTGCGGACGTCGTTGATGAGCTTCCCAAGGCGGGTTTCCTAGAGCCAGAGAGACACAATGACATGCTTTTAGGACAGGGACACTCCATGAAAAGGGAGCTGGGACAGAAATGGAGCTTCCCATGGAGCTGGGGGAAGGGCTCCGTATCTCTGAAATGACCCCACAGGCCCCCTAAACCACCAGTCTCTCAGACACAAAACCTATGAAGTTGTTGGGTCCCTCGGGACATTTAAATTCTCAGACCCAAGTCCTCAGATTTTACAGTCCATGGGACAGACAGGGCATTCTCAGAAGCATCATCTCACGGGCTCCCAGCTCCTGAAGGCCGCAGATCATTCAAGGCCACTGCAGGGACACTCTGCCGGGGGAGATTTCTAGGTGAGAGTACACCGTGGCAAAGGCAACCACAGGCGGGACCTCGGGCCAGTATCACTCCCTGGAGCCTCTGCTGCGCGCTGCAGAGTGTGCAGGGCCTCCTGCAGAGAAAGGGGCCTCGACTCTGAACTAGAGCCTCTCGTATTTCCTGCAGTGTCCATGGGAAGCATGTGCTGTGGGCTGGTACAGTGCAGGCCAGAAGGGCATGCCCCCCTCACTCTGCCCTTTAAGACCTCGCTGGGCCAGTGAGCAAAGTCTCTGAGGCTCCAAGAAGTCGAGAGAGCCCAGGGCTGGAGCAGCCCAGGCCCCACCCTCACTGCTGCCCCAGTGCTCAGACCGGGACACTCACCTCCAGTGCCTCTTTGGTAATGGGGTATTTCTCCAGGCTGGAGATGACTTCCTGCACCGCCACCATGTTCCGGATCTGTAAAACAAGAGCCACTGTCAGACCCCAGGCACTTCTCCCTGTGCCGGCCTGCTCCAGAACTCTCCCTTTCCCAGGAGCCAGTGGAGCCAGCATCACCAGAGACCCACCTCCGGCCGCCTCCGACCTGCTCTCAGGGGCCAACATGGCACCGAGTGCGCACCCTCCCCTGCCTCCTCTAGTGCATGGTGAACAGGTGACTATGAGTCTGTCTACGGACACACCCATCTGCCCAAGTGGCTGCCACACAGCTGAAATTCACATTTATGAAACAAGATTCACTCTTGATGTGGGAAATGCACTCAAATCTGCCATCTGACGGGAGGTTGAAGGATTTATTGAATAAAATGCACCATGTTTAAAACAGCCGTGCATAGTAATCTAATCAATTTAGTTGCATTAACAAGATCTTTATAGAGTTCATCTAAAGACATCACAAGGAGAGCAGAAGTCACAAGGTGGGAGAAGACCAGTGCCACGGGGCCCCACGGGTCTGTATGCGAGCCTACAGAGAACGCGGGCCAGGAGGCACAAATAGGGACCGTGCAGCAGTGCTCAGCTCTCTTGGTCATCAGGCAAGGCAGACTGAACCCACACGTGGCTCCACTGAATACAGAGCAGACTGCTGGAAACGGCACCTGACAACGCCAGTGGTTCCAGGGTGTGGCCACTCTGGGGAGCACTAGGCTGAGTCTGGTCAAATCAAACACTGTGTGTCTCGTGACCACGCAGTTCTATACCTCAGATGACACATGCTATGAGCCAGGCCCTGTTCCACCAAGGTCTGTTTCCATACAGCACTACTCCATTGAATTATCACAACCCCAAGGGGAAGGTGCTATTATTACCATCACATTTTACAAATGTGATGTAAAAGAGTGGGTCATGTGGTCATATAATGACACCACTGTCGTTCAAAAGTTGAAGGAACACACTAAGAAATTCAAGAGCTCTAGAAATGAGCATACTGCAGCTTCAGTACATCAACAGGATGAACTTCAAACCACGGCGGATGAAAAGTCACAGGAGATACACACTGTTGATTCCAATTACACTAAGCATCACAGCATACTCAAAAGTTAATATGAACCCCAGATCTAAATGTGAAAGCAAAAACTCTTAAGGCTTCTAGGATAAACAGGAGACTATCTTTGCAACCTTGGGGTAGACAAATATTTTTTTGGAGCCCCAAGGCAGTGATGTCTAAGAAAATACCCTGACAAACCAGGCAGTGAGGCTGGTCCCACAGGAACAAGGCCAGCCGCTCCCTGTCCCCAGCCCTGGGGTTCTGGCCCTGACAAGGTCCCAGGCTTGCCACATGGCCTCTCTCCACCCCAGTGACCTCACCCTGGTATATTTAGAGCCCTGGGTCCCTGTGCACTCCTGAACCAGCAGTCTCCACAGAGTAAACCCAGTGGCACAGAGCGTCCTTGTCCTCGGGCAGACACTGTCCTGCTGCCAGATGGGGGGGGTGGAGGCAGAACACCTGAGCAACCCTCGGGGTTGGAGCAAGCTGGCGCTGTCGACCCTCGCACAGCCAGAGACCCTCCTGGACGCTGCACAGGATGGGGCTGGGGTAAGGCCTGTGGACCCACTGTCACAGGCGAGCAGCTCCTGCACTCAGGTGGGGATCCGAAGAGGTTCTGGCTTTGAGGAGGCGCTCAGGCCCTCGGCCCTGTGGAAAGCACTGTGTCTGCCGCCTTCCTCAAGTTCAGGACCACCCTGCGGGCTCACCCTTCTGGCTCTGCTGCACTCTGCTCCAGCCATGCTAGCAAGGGTGCTGAGCACTGTGTGGGGAGCATTATCCGGGCATTCTGGAGATAGTCAGGCCCTTGGGACCAGGAAGCAGAACAAGTTCTGCCCTCACCACAGCTAACAGACAGGAGTCCTGGGCTCTATGCAGTGCGAGTTTGGGCCTCCAGCCTCAGATCCAGCAGCTAGTGATAGCCCAGCAGCCTGTGACCCTTGCCTCCAACCCTCAGCGAGAGGGCCCTATGCACAGCAGAGATGCCAAGGCTCAGATACAGCCAAGGGGAGGCTTCTAGCCAGGCTCCAGGCCTGTAAAAAAAAACCCAGTACAGGACAGCTGGGGCAGGGAGGTAGGTAGGTGTCAGGTAAAAGGCAGGCTAGGCTCTTACTCTCTGTGGTAAGAGCAGTATCTAAGCTGGGCCTTGGAGGGCAGACACAACACCTCCAGATATGGTGAGATGGCATCAAAGCCCTGGAGAGGGAAGAGAGGTCCAGAGCAGAGACCTTGGCATGAGCCAGGATGCCAGCAGGAAGAACAGACCTGGGGAAAGTAGGCTGACTATACAACTGCCTTCCATTAACTTCACCCACTACCCTAACAGACCACCCTGTTTTTAGGTCCTTCCTGGCACCTGTCTGTCCAAAAATACATTCACCCACAAACATAGAAGAGACAGCATGCCATTGTTGTACAGGGAAGAAGCCTCTGAGCCACTCCCAGACGCTGCCCCCAAGGGGGACTTTGGCCAGAGAGCCTAAGGGTCAGTCACAGCCAGCCTCCTGCTCAGAAGAGCCTGGCACATGCAGGGCCTTTGGATCTCTCCCCTGTGATTCATTCCCAGTGAGTGAAACCAAAACAAAACAAGCAAACAAAAACCCACCTCTCAAAACTACTTGCCAAACAACTTTCCCAAAAGGAGCAGAATTCACGTGAGGGGCGTCTGAACACTTGCGGCTTCATCTTTTCATTAGGACTCCTTCAATAGCTACAGATTAATCTTTATTTCCTTAATAATGAGTGAAGCCAAGTGTCACCTCCCCTTTCTACTAATGTCGACTTCTCCTGTAAATTGTTCATTGTCCCAGCCTACATATTTTCATTATTTGATTGGCCTCGTTATTGCAAGTAAACACCCTTCCAGGTGATGGTGTCTGCCCTTGTGCACGCAGATGCCTAAATGTCCTCAAGGCAGGCACCGAGGAGGCAGTGGCAGGAGCAGGGAGGGCTCCTCTGCAAAGGCAAGGAGCAGGCGAGCTGGGCCAGGCAGCAGCGGGGCACTCTGAGGAGCAGAGACAGGGCCGGAAATCTGTGGGAAGTCGGCGGGCAGCCCCGGGTGAGGCCCAGGTGAACACAGTCACTTGGTGACCACGGGTGGAAGTGACTCCACTATCGTGCCAAAGGCTTGCAGATTTTAGACTCATGATTCACAAGGGACAACTGGGTATCCACGGTCAGACAGGAAAGTGAAACAATATCCATCCCAGGCAGAAAGGAGGGGAAGCAGCTCCCTAAACTGGGCTCCTCCCAGCCAGGCTCAGGGAGGGGAGAGAAAGAACCCTTCTCAAACATGTCCCCATTTACACCTCAGGGACGCCCCGGGGCACATGCTGGCAAGCAGGAGGGGACCCTCCTTACCACCAACCCAGACCCCAAGGTTCTTATGCAGACCTCCCCCATCAGGAGAGGACCAAGAACATGGGGGAAGCAGCAAGGCCTCCCTCTGGAGAGCCACTCATCAAGTGCTAGGTCATGACTGCAGCCAGTCTAACCGACAACATTTGCTGCTCGACTCACAGTGAATAAGCAGGAGGAAGGGACACTGGATGCCCACAAGTGACAGGACCTGACTGACAGGACCGAGGGAGGGCAGCAGCCCTCAGAAGCAGTGGGGGTGAGAGTTCAGACCACCTAGTGCAGGATGTCACTACCCCCTCAGCACATGTCTGAGAGCTGTTCTGCGTCTGGGTCACTGCTCTGTGTCTGGATCCATGTGCAGAGGTGGGGCCAGCCCAAGGGGGCAGATCCACCACTCATCAGCCTCCTCCTAGCAGTAATTCAGGGCATAGGTAGGTAAACCTCATACCCAGAGTAATTACCTCCCTGTGGGGGATTTCCAGCCCTGATGTGAAACAAGGAACTGAGACTTCTCTGGCGTCTATCCCCACTCACTGCTCCCTTTCCTCCACGCATCAACGGTTCCCACTCCACTCGAAATCCCCAATCTCTTGGCAGTGCAGCTGGACGTGTGCAGCCCTGGTGGCAAAGGGGAAACCCTGTACTCCCCAAGTTCAAGAACTGGTGAGACCCAAAGGCAGTAGTAAGCTAAGGCAGTAAGTCATTTCAGCCTGACTCTCACAGGACCACTCCTTGTTGGGTTCCTGCAGGCACCAAAGTCTCTAGTTTCTCTTTCTTGAAACTCCACTTTACAGATAACCAGGAAGCTAACAGAGGCCCAGTGCTCACCACGCAGCTGGAAGATGGAGGAGATTGACTTTACACTAGCCTGTCATAGCGCCTGCCCACCACACACAGCCCAGCTGGTGCTTTACTCGGGGGGGGGGGGGGGGGCTCCCAGATACCACCAGGCTGGTGACAGCACCCCACTCACATACTCTCACTGACCTGCCACAGTGGGAAAACGGACAGGTTACAGAGTTCCTTGTAGCCACACAGGGTTGGCTTCATGCCAGGAGCACCAATGGATGGTCTCTGGGCCTCTGTCTCCCCCTAGGGTGCTCCAGAGATGGAGAGATCTCCAACAGTAGGGCCTTCAGCCCATCCCCAATGCCTGCCCTGAGCTGCAGACCACTTGGTAAATAAATGACAATGGCACTGGAGTCTCCCTGCCAGGCCCTGGAAATGGCACACACCGAGGTGGGACCCACCCCGCCTGTCTAGCCAGCCTGTGACCACACTGTGGCCCTGCCTCTATGCAGCACAGCCCACACCAACTCCTTCAGGGGGCTTAAAGCCCACCAGGTCAGTGGTAAAAGCAAGTTCACTTTAAAACCAGCCATGTGGAAGTCACATTTTTGTTTTTTTTTTTTAAAGCAGAATAGTCTAGACTAGAATTTACAAAGACCAATTAGCTCAAAAGGCTTTGGAACTGTTCATCAGCAAGCAAGCTGTCCTTCCAAACCCAAACACAACACAGATGGCACCCAGAAGCACGCAGACCTCGAGCTTCTCGACGTGCTGCGCATTCTAAGGTCATCCAGGCTGAGTCACCATGCCCTGCCAGCCCCACGGCAGGTGTCAGTTGTGTCTGCCGAGGCTGTGCGCGCAGGTGAAAGGGGCT